TTATTACATAATGCGGCTGTGAATATTACAAAATGTGTTGAAGACTTTTATTACATTTTGCGCCAGTTATTACATAATACGGTTTTAGTTTGTCTTTATTACATTTTGAAGCCCGGTTTTATTGCATATTGCGGCGTTACAGCGTGTCCTAATCCTAACTCCAAAATCTGAGTGCCGCAACCCTGTGGAACAAGCTCATTTTCAGCCATTTGTATGAAGGATCTGGTTCTTTTGTKTAGGATCTATAAAATATGACGGACCAGCAAGTCTTTGCCTTTTGRCTCAGCTCCTTCTTCACCACAACAAAATCCAACATCTTTATCACTGTAGCTGTGRCTCCAAGCCCAGTTTCCACTCTGTCGCTGCTTGTTGTCTTTTGYAGAGATTACCTGGCTCTAAAGGTGTACGTGGCTCTGTGTTACTACAAGCTGGACTACTACGACGTGTCCCAGGAGGTGCTGGCCGTGTACCTGCAGAACATCCCCGACTCAACCACCGCTCTGAACCTCAAGGCCTGCAACCACTACAGGCTTTACGACGGCAAGGCAGCTGAGGTACTCAGCTTTTGATTGGTCCATGTTTGGATTGCAGTCTTCGTTGTTTGCAAGCTTTGAATTACTCAACCAAATATTATTTTTTTCATAGAAAGTACTTTTTTTAGCACCAACCTTCTTCACTCCATGTAGCTTATGCTAAAGTTTTATCCTAAACATTAATAATGTTAATAATTACAGTTAAATGAGTAAAAGCTTGTCTTAAATGTGATTTTGTATTTGTGTGAACTTTCAGGCTGAGTTGAAGAATCTAATCGACGTCTCTTCCTGCTCCTTTGAGTTTGCAAAAGAGCTCATTCGACACAACCTGGTAAGCTCCTCCCCAGTTCCAGCTGTGAGTGTGTAGATGTGTGTGTGTGTGAGTGTGTACACCTACAGTAAGGCCCTACATGCTCAACTTCCTCTCTGTGCTCTGCAGGTGGTATTTCGTGGTGGCGAGGGGGCGTTACAGGTGCTTCCCCCTCTGATCGACGTGATCCCTGAAGCGAGACTCAACCTGGTCATTTACTATCTGAGACAGGGTGTGTGCACATCGAAACAACTTTTAACAAATATACTGGATAGAGTAAAACATCTGTAAATAATGTTTAAATTAATAAATTACTGTGATGTGAAAATAGGACAAGAGGTAGGAACAAGTAAAGAGTTTTCTTTCCAAATAATATACAACTAATTAAATATTTAAACGATTTAATACTTCGATGTGTTTACTCAATGTCTGCTTGTTGAAGTTGCCAATGTTAAAAAAAATCCTGCCGTGTTTATATTTTGCAGATGATGTACAGGAAGCTTACAACCTCATCCAAGATTTGGTTCCCTCCACACCTCAGGTGACGATACATTTTATTTTAATCCCTCTCTCCTGTTTGCAGGTTGCGCACCTGGTATTCTTTCTATTTTGTCAAAAACGTACTGTTATGAATGAGCCAGATATCKTTTTACATGCTACATTGGAGAGTTCTGAAAGAGATTTTTCTTTTCTTAAACTTTTTATTTTATACTTTAAAAGCACTTTATTGTCTCATAAACATGAAAATATCAATCTTTAAAGGGGCGACATTATGTGTTTCTCAGGCATATATGTAAATTCTATACCATAATGAATTAACTATGTCACCTTCAGTTGTTATTAAAATGTTGTTTATATGTTTAAATAGAAAATAAACTGCTCTGGGATGAGGAAGCTTGGTTCTGAGACACAGCCCAGAGGAGGAGCTGATCCCTGAAGGTGGTTCTAGGTCCAACCGGTCATTTTTGCTCTCCTGCCTGGCTGCCTCGGGACAGCACAGGATTTCTCCAACATGCATGAATGAGTCAGAGCAAGACTCTGGGCGTGTTTTTTTTATGAGAGGAGAACATTATAACATGATATAAAGTTTTACAAAGTTGATTTTACATGATATTGCCCCTTYAAAAATGCTTTGCTTTTGCACATCTTTTGTATTTATTTTAAAGCTTTTGATGCACCTTTTAAGTTCACCCTAGATTAATGATTTTGAATTGCTCTGACAGGAGTACATTTTGAAAGGAGTGGTGAACGCCGCTCTTGGACAGGAGCTTGGATCAGTGAGTATTTCTGTTAACCCTTTACATATCGGCACACAGATCAGAGCTCAGAGTGTGAAAACAAATGTGTGTTTCTGTGTTTCAGAGGAAACATTTGAAAAATGCTCGGGAGTTCTTTCAGCTGGTTGGAGGCTCGGCGAGCGAATGTGGTACGCCAAGTAAAACTTTATTTTTTTTCAAGTTTGAAATCCAGAATATGTGGGAATTTAAGTACATCTTTTATTTTCAGACACTATTCCTGGCAGACAATGCATGGCTTCCTGCTTCTTCCTCTTAAAACAGTTCGAAGATGTTCTCGTTTATCTCAACTCCGTCAAGGTTAGAGAYGCACCAGTGTAATACTGATGAAAGCTTTCATTGTTGTTGTTCTGGGTTTTTTTCTTTTCTTCTTTAAGATCGCCAACAAAAAGCAACCACTTGTAGCCATGATTCACTTGATTACTGATTGTTTTTACAAGAAACACTTTAAAAATGTTCAGAAGTTCCCAGGACGCTTCTAACTTTTTTTGCGTAATTGCTGTATTTATTTATTTATTTATTTATTTTCAGAATTACTTCTACAATGATGATACGTTTAACTTTAACTACGCCCAGGCTAAAGCAGCGCTCGGCAACTACAAAGCTGCAGAGGAGGTAAAATTTTGAACAATTACCTGAYAGTTTTATTGTGTTCTGTGTTTCATTTTTATTCTCTCTTTTTTTTTTGTAGATTTTTCTTCTTATTCAGAGCGAAAAGATCAAGAATGACTACATTTACATCAGCTGGCTGGCACGATGCTGTACGTATAACAGTTGCACTATTCATAGTGTAGTTAATGGTAAGAAATGTTTTAGAAAAGTTTATAGATCATAGGTCTATAAACTATATAAAAATAGTCTATAAAAAGTTTTAATAGAATGGACAAAAACCATACATAAACTTTAAATAGTTTAAAGTTTAGTTTAAAGCAAATGCAAGAAGGAAAACACTTACTTGTTCCTTTGTTTTTAACTAAACTTTAAACTTTTAAGTTAAACTGTGGCAGCACCAGCATGAAAAGAAAATCTGCTTGTGGATCCTGCTCCTTCCTGTCTGTTGACTAATAGGAGAGGAGCTGACCCAAGAAGCCCCGCCCACATTATTTGCATAACAAGGGAGAAATGCATAAGGAAATGTAAATACAGGAGACAGAGCAATGTCAAAACAGCACATGACTTGAGAAGAAAATTATAAAAAAAATTATTAAATAT